ATCAATCAGATAATAAATAGAAGCAAAGTTATCTTTTAAAATATAATTTTAACCCTTAGATTTTGGGATGATTGCACTGATGGTGGCAGCTTAGGTGTTTTTTGTTGTTGTTTTTCAAATCTTTCTGATTTCCCCCATAAAAGTAGAACAGCTGGATAGCAAAACCAGAACCCATATTTGTAATGGAAACTAGTAATGAGATATCCTCATGAAGCCTAAAATGTAAGCAGGTGAGAACTAACAAAATTCCTAAATTTACCCGTTATTGTGCATAAGAAAGTACAGAGAAACTTTGGGACGTCCAGACCTTAGAGCAGAAGCACCTCAAAGTGGTGAAGAGCCAGTTTGAAAGTGATAAGTGTTATTACCCAATTTGAAATTGGGGAGGTTTTGTCCACTTTATTAGATTACTGTAAGGGACCTGTGGTGAGGCCTAAAGTGACTTGAACAGCCTAGCTCTGTGAACTCTCAAGACTGACCCACCAGTGCTCCCTTCCAGGACCCTGTTGAGAAGTTTCTGGGAGTAGAATGAAAATTGAACAGGATAGGGACAACAGAGACAGAGGAAAGAGGACTAGATAAAACTGGGAGGGGGGAAAAGAACCAAGAAAACCTCAGAAAACATGCCATTGTATTTTTAAAGACTGCATGAAAACACTAGAAGAGTTCTATGAAGTTAGAGAAGTTTTCTGAAGCACGCCATAGTCTCAAATTTTACAAAAATTAAATTCACAAAAGGTCTTCCAGGAATATGTTTAGATGTGTTTGTACTAATTTTGAGTCTCATCAACAGTGTTCATATTGATTTGACATTTGATAATGTCAAATAATTCGTTTTTCTTATTTACTGAGGTTGTGTTTAAGACATATTTTAAGTAAATGAAGATATTCTCATATCTTTTTAAAGATTTAATATTTTGTCTTTCATATTTAAATCCATTTGAAATTGATCCTTATATGTGGTGTGAGTTAGGAATCCAATTTCTTTTCCTTGGCATAGAAATAATTATATTAGCATCATGTATTGATTTGTTCTGCCTTCCTCAGCTAATCAGCAGTGCTCTGTTTTGTATCAGTTTCTTTTTAATTCATGGGTTTGTTTCTTATGTCTTTATTTTGTTACTTTGATTGTGTCTGTGCCTGGACCAGTATCACATTTTCTTACCTACTATGGCTTTGTGTTAATCTTCATGTCTGTCTGTCCACGCTGGTCTTCATGAATGTCTTGACTTTCTTGGCCTTTTGTTCAATGACAAATTTAGAATACTAAGAAAGTATTGTGTTTTTAAGTGAAACTTTATTGACTTCATTTCTTTGTGGGGAAAAATTGATACTCTTCCTTGACTTCATACACTGAGGTCTTCTGTATTTTCTCTCAATAAAGTTTTATTATCATTTTTTTAAGTAATAGACTTACTTAGAAATCTTTAGTCAGAGTTATACAAGTACTTTTTGTTGCCTTTTTTGGCAAATTGTATTTTTAAAATTATATTTGATAGCTATTAACCATTATATTGACATACAATGGACTTTTTTTTTTTTTTTGAAGTCCAGTCAGTTGCAGTGTATCAATTTCTGGTGTGCATCAGTGTTCCAGCCATGCATATATATGCATATATTTGTTTTCATACTCTTTTTCATTTAAGGTTATTATAAGATTGTGAATATAGTTCCCTGTGCTATGCAGAAGAAACTTTTATATATATATAAATATATTTTTATATATAAGACTTTTATATATATATATAGTGGCTAACATTTGCATATCTCAAACTCTGAAATTTATCCCTTCCCACCTCCTTTCCCCTAGTAACCATAAGATTGTTTGCTATGTCTGCAAGTCTGTTTTGTAGATGAGTTCATTGGTGTCCTCTTTTATTCCTTTCTTTTTTTTTAGATTCCACATATGAATGACATCATATGGTATTTTTCTTTCTCTTTCTGGCTTACTTGACTTAGAATGACAATCTCTAGGTCCATCCATGTTGTTGCAAATGGCATTTTATTCTTTTTTATGGCTGAGTAGTATTCCATTGTATAAATACACCACAATTTCTTTATCCAGTCATCTATCGATGGACATTTAGGTTGTTTCCATGTCTTGACTATTGTATATAGTGCTGCTGTGAACATTAGGGTGCATGTATCTTTTTGAATTAGAGTTCCCTCAGGATATATGTCCAGGAATGGAATTGCTGGATCATATGGTAAGTCTATTTTTAGTTTTTTGAGGGATCTCCATACTGTTTTCGACAATGGCTGCACTAAACAACATTCCCACCAGCAATATAGGAGGGTTCTCTTTTCTCCAAACCCTCTCCAGCATTTATCGTTTGTGGACTTTTGAATGATGGCCCTTCTGACTGGTATGAGGTGATACCTCATTGTAGTTTTGATTTGCATTTCTCTGATGATTAGCAGTACTGAGCATTTTTCATGTGCCTATTGGCCATTTGTATGTATTCATTGTAGAATTGCTTGTTTAGGTCCTTTGCCCATTTTTGGGTTGGTTTTTTTTTTTTTTTAAGTTGTATGAGTGACATACAGTTGACTTTTAAAATTGATTATTGTATCCATTGATATTACTGAATTTTTACTCTTAATTTATTTGTAGGTTCTTTGTGGGAGGAGGGTTTCTTGTAAATAAATACATCATCTGGAATGTACAGTTTTGTTCTTTATAATTTTTATAACTTGCATTTCTTTTCTGAACTCAGTAGTATTCCTCGTGCTGTGTTGAATAGAAGTGTTAATCATAAAAATCTTCCTCTCATTAGTTATCTTACCAGCTTTAAGTTGTCACCAGTAAATATGATGTTTGATAGAGGATATTCTTTTTGTAGATATACTTTATCAGGAGTAAGAAATTATTCATAATGCTACCTTCTTAAATATTTTTTTCCCCTTTAACACCTTTTTCATCCTTAAGGTTGTTTTCTGTGTGCCTTTTCCTCCTGTCAGCCTTGCTATAGATTTGTCAGTTTTACTAGGAATCAGCTTGAGCTTGATTCACTTATTTTTTAAATTTATTTTTTCTTTTATATTCATCAGTTTATACTGTTTGTTTAGTTCCTTTCACTTCTTAGGGTTTGTTCACTGTTCTTTAATCTTAAGTGTTTTTACTATTCCAAACTTCGGAGGTTTTTCTAGTTATCGTTCTATTGCTGATTTCTCATATATTGCACTGTAGCTGGACAATGTGGTTAGTATAATACAAATTATTTTTTAATGTACTTGAACAAAATGCATGTTGACCAGTTAGTGGATGTATTGCTCTGTTTCGCTCCATTAGATCAAGTTTGTTCTCTGTATCTTCTGTACCCACATACTTATCATTCGTATTCACATTTTTACCATTATTTATTCCTTTGTTTAGATTTTGACTCCCGTGTATTCTTTTTTTTTAAATCATTTTATACATTCTTGTGTTTAGTATGTGATAAATCCAGCAATTGGAAGTTGCCATATATCATTCTAATGTCTTTTGTTTCTACTGGTTCTCACTTACGGTACCCTGTTTTCTTGTATGTGTGTATTAACCATTTTATGCTTCTTAGAAATCGATGGCACTTCTTTGAGGATTATTAGATGGAAAGACACTTTTCCCAAGGGGATTTGCTTTTGATTTTGCCAGTGCCTGAGACACTACCATTCTAGGCCCAATTAAAAAATCAAATGTTGGTTTGAGGTTGTAGTTCACACAGGTAATGTGAATTTGAGCTGATTTATGACTGTAGATTCTCAGAAGAGATTTCCTTCACCTCTTTCTACCTAGCGTCAAATTCAAGACCATCAAGAATTTTATGCCTTCTTCACTACGGGGTTATTAAAATTACGATATACCCTTTTAAGGACCTGCTTTATGAGAACGTCTTTTAATAGATTTCTGCTTTGGGCAAATTCCTCTTTGGGGATGTAAGCATTTTGTTTTGGCCCGCTGGATTTCCCTCCTTCCCCACCTTCCAGTCTCAGCAATTCATTTAAAAATCAAAATATAATTTCTGTGTTAGTTCACTGATTTTTTTTGTTCACACTACATAGCCAAGAATAATGCCTGGCATATGCTAAATATATATTAGTTGCCTGGCTGAATCAGTATTTCATTGAACATTTTTAGTTGGTTTTGAGTGGAGCATTTTTTTTTTAATAGTCTGCCATACTACCAGAAACATGTATCGTTATTATTCTCTAGGCTCAGCAGAAATTTCATTTCTTAAGAGAAGCATTTCTTTCTTAGATTTCTGTTAAATATTCTAATTGTTCATTGTAATTTGGTGGCGAGGGGAGGGTTAGTGTTATTTCTACTTTTTGTTATTACCAGTAGTTGAAGATGTTTGATGCTCTTTTTTATCCCATTCTTTCTTTTCTTTTTCCATTCCTTTTATTCCTTTCCTTCCTTCACTTCCTTATCTTTTTTCCTTCTTTCTCTTCTTTCTTTATAGTATCATAGTATCATTTTCTTTCTGCCTGAAGGACTTTAAAAATGTTTTAAAGCTTTTTAAATTAGTGCAATATAGATAAAATTATTTAGTTATTGCATTTTTATTTAAGAATTTTACATGTTGTGCTTTCTTCCACTGCCTATCAATTTACCTTATTAGTTCCTCCAAAGTTGAAGTCATGGTCTTCAGCATAGCCTCTTTAAAAAGAACTTCTGCTTACCTCACAATTGTCATGTCACACAATTTTTCTAGTTCGATAAGGCTTCTTCGATTTCCACTTGATCTCCACTTGAATATGGACATACTGATGACATAGTTTAAAAAAAAACTCCTTACCTATCACAGTCTTTGGGATCCAGTTTTTTCAAGCAGTTTACTTTAGGGTCACTTTTAGGGTCAGAGTAGATGGAGCTACCTGGTTCTCAATTTCACACACCCTGTAAACAAGAAAAAGTTCAACTGAACTGTCACATTCTAGAATAGTACAGATCTTTGGGATATACTAATACCTGAAATTTAAAAATTTGACCACTATATCTTTTATACTTTCAGTAGCACCTCTGTCTTAGAATTCTTTCCCAGAAATCTAAAATAGTTCTGTGAGTAAAGCAAAACACGTGTTTATTCTACGAGGAGTTTCCAATGATGTTGTTCTGCAGAAAAGCTCCATCGGGATAACTTTGACCAAAACTTTTTTTTGTAATACATTTCTGATAGTGATGAATTCTTTCAGATTTTGGATGTCTGAAAAAGTCTTTATTTCAAAAAAGTCTTCTGAAAAAGTCTTTTATTTTTGATAAAGATTTTTGCTGGATATGGAATTCAGAATTGACAAATTTTTTTTAGTGCTTTGAAGATTTTGCTCCCCTAGACCATTTCCAGTAAAAGGTCTACTGTCATTCTATCTTTAGTCCTTTTTACATAATGTAACTTTTTCTCTCTGGCTACTACAAACTTCTTAAAAAAATTTTTATTGAGGTATAGTTGATGTACAATATTAATATGTTTCAGGCGTACAACATAGTGATTCACAGTTTTTATGGGTTATACCTCATTTATAGTTACATAAAATATCGGCTATATTCTCTGTGTTGTAGAATATATCCTTGTAATCTATTTATTTTATACATAATTGTTTGTACCTCTTAACCATCCACCCCATCTTGCTCCTCCTCCCTTCTCCTGCCCGTCCTCTCTTCTCTCTCCCCCTCCTCCCTTCTCTCTCCCCGCTGGTAATGACTAGTTTGTTCTCTGTATCTGTGAGTCTGTTCTGTTTTTGGTTATATTCACTAACTATATTCATTTTTGTTTGCTTTTTAGATTCCACTTAATAAGCGTACTATTAACATTATTTGGTCATTGGTTTTACACATGATGTATCTTGGTATAGTTTTCTTTTTGTCTCTTGTGCTTGAGATTTATTGAGCTTATTGAATTTGTGTGTGTGTAAGTTTTTTTAAAATCCTGTTTGGGAATTTTCTGTACATTATTTCTGTAAATGTTCTTTTGTTTTTGTTTTTGTTTTTGTTTTTGTTTTTGTTTTTGTTTACTCTGTTCTCGTTCTGTCTTGGGGACTACAATCACATACATATTTGGTTACCAGAAGTTATCCCTCAGCTTACTGGTACTCTCTTCATTTTTTAAAACCGTTTTGATCTCCATGTAGTTAGAATAATTTATAGCTGTGTTTTTAAGTTCACCAGTCTTTCCTTCATCATGTCAGTTATTCTTCCCTTTACATGCAAAATATATTTATGATAACAGTTTTATAATGTCATTGTCTTTTCTATCGTCTGCATCATTTTTCTGGATCTGTTTCTGTTGATTATTAGTTCCCCATTATGTGTTTTATTTTACTGCTTCTTTGCATGGCTGCAAACTTTTGCTTGGATGCCAGTCCTTGGAATTTTTACCTATTCAGTGCTGTACTTTTTGTTGTTGTATTTCTGTCAGTATTCTTGAGCTTTCTTGGAGACACGGTTAAGTTACTTAGAAGCTGTTGGAGCTCTTTGAGACTCTCCTCCCCGCCTTTTTTTAATTGTAAGTTTGTTACAAGGAACCACAGCAGCCTTTAGTCTAAAGTTAATTTTTCCCAGCCACTAAGGCTGTAATTGTTTGCGTACAATTAGACTAAAGTATTGCGTTTTTCTGCTCTGGCCTGGGGAACAATTGTGTGAGCCCTGGACGTGATTTCTGCTGTCTCTTTTCCCAGTCCCAGATCTCTAGAACTGGTTCTCTCATAGCTCTGTCCTGTGTGGGGCTCAGGCCTTGTCACTCTGGCTGCCTTGGCCCCCGCAGATTCCGTACACTTCTCAGTTCACAGAGATCTCTGACCTCCAGCGGGGCCCCTCCTCCTTGCTTTGCAACCTAGCAACTCCTCCATATGATAAGCAAGGTCAGCTGTAGAGCTCACATCGGTTCTTCCTCTTCTCTCAGGGATTATCATCTTGTACTGCCTGATGTCCTAGGTCTGGAAGCCATTGTTTAATACATTTTGTCTATTTTCAAAGTTGTTTCAGTCAGGTAAGGCAGGAGAGGGGGGAGTTTCTACTCCTCTCTCTTGGCTGGAAGTACAGGTTTTAAGGTTTCATTTTAAAAATTATATTTTGGTTGAGAAGATGGGTGAAAAATCATTCCTGATAGAATTAGCTTTTGTGTCAGTGTTCAGTCAAGGCTTGAATACTCCCTGCTGTGTAAGACACTACGTGGTATGCCATACACAGAAATATCAGACCTGTTTTCAGCACCTCAGTTCATTTGCAAAGAAACATCAAACAGTACAAATCACTAAGTCATTTCCAATTCATATATGGAATCATCATAGTTGTGATTCTGTTTTACTTAAAGCAAAAAATTGGACATTTCCCTTGAATTTCCTAAGATTCTCTGGAATCTAACAGACCCATAAATAACAGTGGCCATTTATGTTCTCATCAGAAGTAATAACTTTACTAGCTACTATTCCTCACTCCAAAAATGTGTGTTCTGTCACAGAGAATAGTATATTATCTGTTGTTTAACCTGACTGAGTAAATTAAAGACATTATAGTACATTGCTAATGAAAAATAGGATACTTTTTCAAAGGAAAAGAAAAGTAAAGGTCTTTCTTATTTCGGACTAGAAGTGCTAATAAGAGAGACTGCTTGGGACATACGAAATTTTAAACCTGTTCTTTTCTGCTGGAATAAAGGCAGTGTGATAAAGCTGAAAGATTCCAAGTAAGGGATTCTGGTTTTGAGACATTATTCTTTACTTTCTGCCTATTATCACTTGGAGCTAGTTAGATAAAACCTTTGACACTCTATATTTGATAGTGAGATCTTTAAAAGATGGTTTGTCTACTTGTAGAAGCATTTTGATTAACAAATACAGCATAGAAGAAATGAAGAAAATAGAAAATTATCTTTAGAACATCATAGTAATAGATGCTGTAGGCAGTATCCTTGGATGAATGCTATAATTAGTGGGTAATTAATTTAAGGACTAACAGGTGTTTGCATGCTCTCAAAGTGCTTCTTTCAAAATATTGTTTTGAAAAGGATTAAATAGTAATTTACAAAGGAGAAAACTGGCATATATACCATCTTAAATCAAGATCAAGGTTAATGTCACCTGTAATAGGACATTATCATCATGTGCACTCATATATTAGAATATACCCATCGTATATGATGTGCTTGAAGACACATCACCCCTGTGGTGATGGGGCTTTTAAAATACATAACCTCAGTCTAGTCATGAGAAAACATCAGATGTACCTAAATTACAGGACATTCTGCAGTGTAGTTACATTGGTATAACTCATGACATCAGTGCTGTGAAAGACTGAGGTAAAATCTGAGGTTGCAGAAGACTAAGGAAGCATAAAAGTAAGTAAAATGTGGGTCCTGGAACTGAAAAAGGACATTAGTGGAAAACTGGTTAAATCTATGTAAAGTTGTTAGTTAATAGCTAATTTCTTAGTTTTGATACTTGTACTAATAAGATGTTACCACAAGGGGAAGATGGAGTATATGGGAACTCCGTCCTATTTTTGCAGGTCTTCTGTCAGTCTAAAATTATTTCCAAATAAGTTTTTAAGAAGTGATAACAGTGTTTGTGGACAGAGTGTTAACATGTAGTTGAGTTAGCTTTTTCTTTGGGGAGGGCCTCATTCTGATAGTGTGACATTCTTATCTCTGGAGCAGTTCAGTTTTTCCACAATTAGAATCAAGGTCGGGTAGAGAGGTAGTTGTTACATCTGATTGATAGTGTTCTGTAAGCAAGTTATGGAAAGAAAGCTGAGGATCCCACAGTTCAGAATGTAAGGCTTTACTTTATCTCTCGGTTTTCAAGATACCTCACCCCTCACCTATGCTTTGGCTTTGTTCCAAAATTTGGAGCCTGTCCACTTGGGTTTTCCTGGAGAATGAACCTTTGATGTCATATTGGTGTTCCAGGGGCTAGAGAAGTATTTTTGATCTAATGAATCTGTAGACCATATCCTTCTGTGCCTCAATTTGAGGTACAAGTACATCTTACAAAGGTTTTGTTATGATTAAGTGACATTGTAAGTGCTTTGAGCAGTACTTAATTTGGTAAGCACTCGGTACATATTAGTGCTTATGTGTACCAGGCCCACTGTGTTAGACTGCTCCAGCAGTATGCTGTTCAACTAACTCCAAGGAGTGCGTTTTCCCATGGACTACAGTGCAACCCAGTGGCTCTAAGTAGTATAATTCTTCCAGTGGGATTTTTTTTTTGGTAGAAAAATAGCATGTGTGTTGTCTCATCATATTAAACTGTTAAGTCTGAAACAACTTTTTAAGAGTAATCTAACTTGAGAAAGAGCTTGAAAAATAGAAAAAAGAAATTTTAATCTCCAAATTCTTATCTGATATTTCTCATGGTAGAGCATTCTAATCACTGAAGATGTCTGGTAGTCTATTAGGTATTTTGGAAGTGGTTGTCAATTTCAGTGAAAAAGGCATAAAACAACTTTATTCATATATGTTTCAGAAATACTAAATTTAACATTAATTTTTGACATAATGCCATTACTTTTAACAATAAATATTGTTGCTCATAAAATTTCCGCACATGCCGTGAGCGCTGCCTTGATGGGTTACTGTCAGATAGCACTTAGGTAACAGTTTGCATGGAGTAAGTGGAGGACACATTCATGTCATGTGCCTGCTCTGTGCCAGGCACTGTTCCAGATTCTGTGTGAGCAAAGAGACCAAAAAAAATTCTATTCTCATGGAGCTGATGTTTTTAGAGCATAGGAAGACATTAAACAAAATAAAATGCATTGTGTATTATATGTTGATACATGCTATGGAGAAAAAATTAAAGTAGGGAAGGGGATAGAGAGTGCCTAAGGGGTTGGGGTAAAGGATAGTGTACTTTTAAATAGACAGGGAAGTCCTCGCTAGGCTGGCTCAGTACCTGAAGTAAGGTGAAGTGAAGCATAGATACCTAGGGGAAGAGCACTCCTGGAGGGTACAAGAAGTATAAAGGCCTAGAGGCAGGAGTATGCCTCCTGTGTTTGAAGAACAAGAAGGGGAGGGGCAGTGTGGCAGGAACACTCTTAAGAGAAGGAGCAAATGGTAAGAGATTGGAGGTAATGAAGGGTAAGTTCACTAAGGCCTTGGAGGCCAGAGTAATGGTTCAGGAGCATTGTAAATGTGTTTCCAACTTGACCC